TAAGTAAACATTTGAAAAGTCGTGAAAGATATGATAACACAAATGACGTCTCGGGACGATTATTACGATTAAACGTTGGTCGCTCCGGGAGGTCTCCGTCCTATCATAGCTGAAATTGAAAAGACCGCATGGAAACGTGACCAGCAACGTAAAACACCCAAGGCCACACCGACTTAATCTTATGTATGACATCCTCTGAAACCACGATACTAGTGCGCGCGGGCAAATAAAAAAAATCCGGCCAAAAATATAAATGCTACTAAACCACAGGAATACAACGCTGGTATTATGAATTTGCGGCAGTACATAGCGACGTACACAGCAAGCCGCCACATGCTGGCTTTTTTGCTGAATTTATGAATCGGAACTGTACGAATGTACTGAGTTCTTGAGTCGTGGAGCTTCGGTAGCCTGGGGGCCATCCTCCAGAGTTACCACAGCTCCGTATTGTCGCTAACTACCATAGACTACCCAGGTCAGAGCCTCGGAGGACGTGCTTTTAAAAAAACAGGCGAAAATCAATGCGTGCGCGGATGTCATCCATAAAATTAAGTCCGTGTGGCCTAACCGGCTATCACACAGAGCTTGATGGATGGATGTATTAAGGAATGCCTTCTGGGGAAAGATGAAATCCCCCCTTCTAAAACAGAGCTGTCTTCCCTTTAGAAGGAACGATCTAAGATACGTGCCCGTGATACACACGCTAGATGCTTTCTTATCCGATTCAGGGACACATTATTCACCATGGTTCAAAGAATCCTTGTCTAGATCAAGAGACGTTGCGACTAAAAAGCCACAGACCGTGACCAAAACTCAACTTTCTGTGATGGAAGGTTTTGACCTCTGTAGAATCTTCTGTTAGGCCATGTTGATTTGATTATATGGATGACATCAGCGCGCGCATGAATTTTCGGCCGTTTCCAAAAAAAAAGTTTTCAACCATACTGTAAAACGTACAAAACAGTTACAAAATGAGCAAATATATATACCGTAAGTTACAAAAAAAATATTGGAAAACGATACCAATGTTGGAGAATGCCAAAATCAAACGAAAAGGACGAACATGAAAAGAATGAATTTGAAGAGTAGATTATTCGTCCTACCATACTCTGTGTCATTTGTTCAACCTTCATGACCACGTAGATTTCAGGTTGAAAGCAACTTTTTTGTGAAACTTTTTTTATTCGCACGCTCGCATCGGTTTTTGAGGTTCCCAGAGGATGTCATCCATATAATCAAATCAACATGGCCTTAGCTCACATTAGAAACTGATGTAGCCAGACCGCATCATCAGGTGGCACAAGAGTAGTTCTCAACTGATATAGGGATGTCGACTTTGCTACAAGCTTTTTCTGGTAATCCCAAAACACATTAGAACAATCCAGCGAACATGGATGACAAAAAATGCAGACCCCATGCGATTATATAAGCTCCTATAGTGCGAAGTGTAGAGTTGTAATGGAACAATCTCTACTGAAAACTCAATACTTGATTTGAAAACCAAGTCGAAGGACCTTGCTTGGGATAAGTCGATACAATCTAATAGCTTTTACTCCCACTGGACATTGATGTAACTGCTGTTGGAATCGTTCTTGCTGTGTCGCTTTCAGATAGTTCAGTTTGTTTCGCACTTTAAAACAAAATGTAACAATACAAATACAAGAAAATATAAATGAAATGTAACAGTGCAGGGAGGCCGGAAGCATAAAATGCTTATGAGGAGGTCTCCCTTCATAACGTGATTAACAATTCAAATAAATCGGATAAATAAGAAATAACTTAGGTAATATAATAAATAACGGGTAAATAAACAAAGCAATACAATACAATACGATACAATACTATCTACGATAATGAAAAGTAGTAATAAAAAGTAGTAAACAAGGAAACATAAACAAAAATTAGGAATGTGTGGGGTTATTTATGAAAGCTACTTTAGTATGATTTTTGAAAATGGTGAAGGAGGGACTAATTTGTAAAGTTCTACTTAGGTCGTTTCAAATTGTTGGGCCCCTGTACGTGATTGTAAATTGACGTAGATTCGATTTCGTAGCCTTAGCCCGAGACGCTATCAGACACAGACGAACAGTCGGTGGGTACATCAAACTTGTGTGCGTGGGGAATCATCGTGCTGTCCTGCAGCAAACTCATCGACAACAAGACTGGCAATAAAAAACATACATTGCCATGGCGACGGTGGTTGCTATTAGTATCAGGGTTATTGTTTGCATGGTATTGCCATCATTTCATGACTTTGAGGAAGACTTGGTACCTGATAAGTCTAGACAGATACAGTGCACTCCTCCCCTGGGTGTACAGTGAACGAGCCCCGGGGTCACAGAAAGTAGGGCCATCCGGGGCATTCAGGTTTTCCCAAGGGTTTCCAGGAATGTGGACATAGATGTGGGTCAGAAAAATTCCTATGGACATTCCATGCCTGTGGACAAAATTCCTGTACCATTCCTAGAATTCTTGCAAACTGCACACAATACTGTACCATTAGGCTCCTCCCTGAGACGTCGCCAAAAAGTATATCAGCAGTGCCAGAAAAAGTAACACATACATACCACGGGTCAAAACATTGTACGCCTATTGTCGGTCCATCTACACTGTTAACGGCAGTGAACCTTAATCCGACGCAACCTTAATCCGACACTTTTCAACACTCCTCTGTCTGTTAGGATCTAGCACTGATATGCAAAATCTTTTAATTGCTTTACAAACTCAATAAGGTACACAGCCTAAAAACTTGAAACAGTGAGCTAACGAAGTCAACATGTTGTGGAGACGAGGTCATGAAAATTTTCAGCCTGTTTTACACTGGTAGGCATGTCGTGGGAGGAAGCTTCCGGAAGGACAGTGGTCAAAACATCGACAATTTCTCCTTTACATCCTCATGCTATACATTCAACGTCACAGCGAATAAAAAAAACAATTAATAAGGTGTGTGTTGCTGACAAACCTCTTGCCTAGAAGTGTCCTTCTTTTTAAGCACAGAGCGAGTTCGTTATGGTCATTCAGCGGCCGATCGAACACGACCGCCATTTTGAATCCGAATGTACTTGTTGTTGTTGTTGAAGACGATACCACTAGTCTGTACGTGGATGTGGCAAATCATCGCAACACTTGTATTATCGCCAAAATTAGTGACAAATACTTCGGAATAGTGCAGAATTAAGTTTTTTGACTGGTAACATTATTGTAAAATTCTTCAACTATTCCTTTCTTGGAACTAAAATGCCCCGCCGTAACTGATTCGAATGCGGTCCCCTTCTTTGTAAATTCAATAGTCCCAAGCCACGTGATTTGGTGTAGCGCTGCACCGCGGTGCACCGGCCTACCGACTTACTTTTGATGCCGATGATAACTTGTATAAGTGTCTGTTGTTTGACAAAGGGATTGAGAAAAAAATGTTGTTGTGAATAGCAAAATTACAGGCAAACAGCTACACTGTTGCATGGCGTCGGATTAAGGTTTCGCTTAGAACAGAATACGCAGGGCACGGTGAAATCGGGAGCGATGTTGAAGACGCAATTTTCCCGCGATATCTCAATGGTTGGGAGAGTGACACACACGTAGGTATGGCGTTAAAAACAGGCTACAAGATGCACTAAATGATTAACGAAAATACCGAATGTCTGGTTGTGGATTCATCATTCAATCTTGCTTGTGCATAAAAGTGTCGGATTAAGGTTCACTGCCGTTATATGCATATCTTCTATACTTATTTTGATCCTCCTTTTGCTGTAGCATAACTCATAGGCTGATGAATATCATGTAGTCTTTTAAATTGTTCTGTGGTTCCATGACTAATCTGTATTGAGCATATATAAGGCCGTGTTTATGTGAAGTCACCCAAGGCGCTTTACATATAGTTTACCCCGAAGCCGGTTTCAAGTGGCTCCATCTGAACGCTCCAAATCACATTGAAAGCGCCTCGATCCCAAGCCACTTCTAGAGGTGGTTTCGAATCGGTTTTCCCGCATCGCGATTTGCGTCTGAACGCAATGTGATTTCAGTGTGACTTCGCCTGGTCATGGATTACGGAGTGATATTTCTTTATTTATATGCAATACCAACTTTTACGTGGCAGCAACTTAAAGAGAAGTAATGTTCAAAATAATGTGTCCGTTCTAGGACGAGCTGCACCGCCTCTGGCGGGACCACGTCGGCATTCAGCCGAGATACGCTGGGAGGGGGGCACCAGCAAGCAGGTCGTTGACCTCTGACAATAATGACACGCTACCTAGCGTGTTTTCATCAAACAACAATGAATGTAGTTTCGGAGAATCGTGATCGGGCACGTTTTGCAAAATGTATGGCACATGGACCAGATGTGAGGAATGCGAGTTACCCGAATCGCAGTTTGGGTGACTTCACATAAACACGGCCTAGGTCGGACCTCTGGCCCACATTACTGTACAACGCAGTTATTAATACGGCGTGCTGTGCCCACATCATATTTACACTCCCGGTAATCATGATGAATAGACCATGTGGTTGTATAATCCCACGGGACATGTCACCGTATAGGAAAATAATGGCTCACACGTGAGTTAGGCCACACCGACTTAATTTCATGGATGACATCCTCTGAATACCCCCAAACTGGTGCGAGCGTGAGAATAAAAAAAAATCCAGCGAAAAAAATGCTGCTAAACCACAGGGATATATTACTAAGCATTGCAAAATATACTAGAGAAGTAACATTTGCAAAGCAAATGCATAATGTTTACCTTCGGATACGGTCTGCTCTGTTAATTCTTTCTCAAACACATTCACATACATGTATATGTATCTGGTGACAGGAGTCTAAATGCTTCCTACTTTGAAATTGCAACATTATGTTACCCAGCACTAGTTACCATGGTGCCAGGCGTCAGAGGTCACTGTCTGGAGAAGAAGAAGAGGAAGAAACAGAGCAAAAACAATATTTTTTCCTTCGGTAAACATAAATATTACTTACATTTAATATCATGGTTTATTTCATTCTATTGCAGAATAACAGCTACCATCAATGACGTCCTGTGTACCGCGTTCACGATGTACGCCTTACTATTCGATGACAAGCTACGGCATGACGACTTGAGGTAAGCATTATGAAAATCTAAACTGTTCTCCAACTCATAAATTTCGCTCACGAGGAATTTTCGACTGAATCACTCAGTCATCCTCAGCTATCTGACCCAAATGCTGTGGACACGTGATCTTTCCCACGTGTGACGTCAGCAAAGGGTCAAAGGTTGTCTGAAGTCGATATCGCCCCCCGTCCCGGTTGAGCGAAGGTTTAAGTGCCCTGATGTAGATGGCCTCTTCTATGCCTCTCTTAAAGTAATCCTGTTCGGTATCCAAGATTCTAACCCCCTCCAGATGCCATCGCTCAACCGGGACGGGGGCGATATCGACTTCAGACAACCATTGACCCTTTGATGACGTCACGCGTGGGAAAGATCACGTGTCCACAGCATTTGGGTCAGATAGCTGAGGAAGACTTAAGTGATTCAGTTGAAAATTCCGGTGAATGAAATTTATGAGTTGGAGAACAATTTGAATTTTTCATAATGTTATTTACCAACTCAGATGAACTTTCATGCTGTTGAGGTAAGCATGTTAACCTCTCCCTGCTGCCTCACACTGTCATCAATACAAATATGGTACCAGAAGGATACTTCAGCAGAGAAAAGGTTAACCAACAACGAAGTAAATGGTCTTGCAAAGTACGTAAAAGTCCATAGGTGGCGCATTGAATCTGTCAATTTACGACCTAACATTGTTGGCTTATTTTGAAAGTGGAATGCGGAATTACATATCTGAGTATTGGGTTAACGTGTTTATCCATCTTCTGACTGAATTTTATGACCCAAGGCCTTGAAATTTTTGCAATAACCCCGTACATTTCGTCGTTGTACTGTCCTAAGAGGATACTTGGTGTACAGTCAGAGAGATATGGTTGCCCAAAGACCGTTCCATGGAAATCCAAATATTTGACGGACATGCAGTCGCTCTCTCATTGGTCGAACCGCAAATTGCCATTCTCTCATTGGTCGAACTGCAAACTTGCCATTCAGTCATTGGTCGAACCGCAAATTGCCATTAAGTCATTGGTCGAACCACTAATTGCCATGCTCTCATTGGTTGAATTTCTAATTGTGATGGGCGTTCTGTCTGTTTTGTGTTCCACAGGAGCGACTCCCATTGGTGCAAGCTGGCAGGGGCAATCATCTTGGGCTACTTCACTGCAGGTAGGTCTTTCCACATGCACGAAAAATGCAATATGATCCAACACAAAGAAGTTCTCTCACTTAGAGCTTTCGACCAGTCACACTGGTCTTCCTCAGTAGACTGACTAGTGACCGTCCACGCGTATACAAGACACTTTTGACCCAGTGTTGACGTCACACTTCAAAGAAGCCACGTGACAAGCCTCACTGGGTCAGTCTACTGAGGAAGACCAGAGCGACTGGTCGAAAGCTCTAGGTGAGAGCTTCTTTGTGTTGGATCAAAAGCTTTAACACTAGTGCTAAACATGTAACTACCAACATAGATGAACTTTCATGATAGTAATTAAAAGTGCTAACAGTTTAAAGTTGCGATATTTTCAGTATTGGTATCAAAGAATGTGACTTTCATATCATATTAATCTGAGTGTGTGTAAATTGTACTTGTGTATCTGAAACAAATGAGTTTTTTTATAAAATAGCATAGATAAACTCATTACATAATAATCTCTAATTGTCCATTTTATGACGACATCAGAAAACAATTATTTACCACCGTGTCAAAAATGCTCCCCTACTTCCCCACCATTCCCTACCACGAAAAAACAATTTTACTACTAAAATCAAAGAACCCGCATATTATATAGAAGACGTGGGTAAATTCGTCTTCCATTGCCTAAAAAGAAGAAGTCAAACCCAGTAAAACTAGTACCATGTATGTGTAGAATATAATGCTAGACATAGATATAGTCTCACATACCACTGTATTTTTTTTTCTTATGTTGTTTGTACCTGCAATTAGCCCTCGGGCATGTATTTGCAATAAAACTTTCATAAACATGCTCTTCTGCAGATATACTGGAGATGTTTTGCAGACCGAAGATCAAATGGGACACGGCCATGTTTCTACATCATCTCGCTGCAGCAGTCATGGCCTACGTATCACTGTTTGTGAGTAATTGATTTTATTGTTTGTTTGCACATTAACAAAACAGACAATAATAAAATACAAAACAAGGATAAAACAGGTGCAGGAGGAGGGGAGAATCATGGCATGCTTATACTAGGCCCTCCTCCTCTAAACTATACACAATTAAATATAATCAATAAATGGAAATAATACAATAGAAAATGGAAATAATACAATGAGGATAATCAAATAATGCACGGTATAAGTTAATGACTATGAAATAAAGTAATGTAAATTATAAATACAGAGCAATAATGATAATGATAATAATTGGTATGAGTTACAATAAGAGAAAAACACTAGTCTAAGTGAAACTACTACAGGGGGCTAGGTTCGTTTATCAGATGGTTTTTCAGAGCTTGTTTTTGTGAGAGAAGAGACAGGGTAGGATTCTTTAGGGCTGGAGTTAGTTGATTCCATAAGGTGACACCTTTGTATCTAACCGACATTTGGGCAAGAGAAGTTTTTACTAGGGGAACTTATTGAGTAAATAATTATAATTTACAAATCAACAACAAGGCCAACACATGTTCATACAATGATGCAAAAAATATGGAACACATTACTATATACACTAAACTTGAATGACACCTTTGTACACAATCATTTGTTGCACAACTACAATTATATTGACTACCCTACATGTAAATGTGGCTATTATAGTGAAACAACTGAACACTACGTTCTACATTGAAATTTATTCCAGTCAAAGAAGTACTCTGTTATCATCTCTCTCCAACATAGTAGAGCTACAGCATCTCAATGACAGTTCCCTATGTTCCTTACTACTTCGAGGGTCCACATTACTTTTACACCTACAAAACCGTTATAAACCGTTATGTTTTTGATGTAGTTCAATTGATAGGTCACCAACTTGTCTTGTTTGTATTTATCTCGGTTTTATCCACTTTGTAATTATGCAATGTTTTGTTCTGACGTATCTGATTTTATTTTACTGTAGTCCACCTTCTGTTGCTTGACTAAATATAACCATGTCCTGTCCTGAGTAAATGTATACTGGGCTCCATTGCAATGAAGCTTCTACAAGCTGAATGGGCTACACAGCCATGTTATGATTAAATAAATAAATATTTTTTTTCTCATGTTTTCTCAGTGGTACAACTTTGCTCAGTTCTATGGCAACATTATGATTATGATGGAAGCGTCGAGCCCTTTTCTAAATATAAGGTAAGAACTGTACTTTTCATGACTTGTCAATAATGGAAATGGTGATGCGTATATAAATAAATTGTGCCTTGGCGACTTTTAAACGTTTTGTTCCTAAATATTTATTTTCGATATTATTATTATAATTATTATAATAAATATTAATTACATAAATATTCATTTTCGAAGTACCATACCAAAGATTGTTATGATCAAGGATTTGTTATGATTTGAACTATTGTTATGGCAGTTGTTATCATCAATGATTTGTTATGATTTGAATTAATTGTTTTGATTATTGTTATGATCAAGGATTTGTTATGATTTGAATTATTGTTATGATTATTGTTATGATCAAGGATTTGTTAGGATTTGAATTATTGTTCTGGCAGTTTTATGATCAATGTCACAATGATTTTTTATGATTTGAATTAATTGTTATGATTATTGTAATGATCAAGGATTTGCTATGATTTGAACTGATCGTTCTGCTACAAATGTATTCTACAGGAATCTGTTGCTATTGGCGGGATGGTCCAAATCCTCCCGTCCGTACACCTTCGTCAGTGCCTCATTTGTAATCACGTTCTTCCTCTTCCGAGTGGCCATCATACCTCCCTTTTGGTAAGTAATCGGTCTTTTTCTTGCTTTCTTTATCAATGAATTCGCTAGGCCTTTATTCTTTATAATGTCTGATTCAAATGATAGCACCGATGGTAACAATTTGTTACCTGAATTTCACTAAAGGCTACATTTGATTAGCCTCTACCAGGCTTCGGGAGGCGGCTGAAAAGAGTAGAAATCGGCCAAATAGAGAGATAGCATGCCGGGGAGTTTGTCCGCTGGGAGAGAACATTTTGCCGCACTCTCCCAGCAGACAAACTCCTCTGGCATGTTATCTCTCTATTTGGCCGATTTCTACACTTTCAGCCGCCTCCCGAAGCCTGGTAGAGGCTAACATTTGATAACAAGTAAGTATACATCATGTTGTTTGCTGCTGTTTTCTCTATCGTGGTGTAGATTGTTAAATTCTTTTCTCTCTTTCTATCTTTCTCTCTCTCTCTCTCTCTTTCTTACTTCATTTACAAGGAAATTACAGAAATGTACAGAAACACTTGGAGGCAAAACTAAAACCAAGACAACTTCTACAGAAGTAGACATATACATGCAGAAAAAATATCTCCCTTAACACATCAAGTGTTAAATTCTACCCTCTACTTCCAAAAAATGACTCTTTGTGTTTTGTAGTAAAATGTTGAACTTTATTCCAACTCATGGAATACACAGAGGTCAAATTTTCAACGACCACTGTCGCCTTCATCAGAATTATAAATGACCAATCACTCCGTTTGATCAGTTGCTAAAGTCACATGTCCGTAAAGTCTCGCGTGAATATGGTCACGTGGTTGTAACGGTAACTCTCGCGAGATTACGTTTTGTGGTCGGTGAAAATCTCTGTGTAATCCTTCTGTTGGAATGAAGTTCAACATTTTACTATCATAATGATTACTATTGACATAGATGAACTTTCATGACTGTATGTTGTTGCTTGCAGGTACGCAGCTTTCGGTCAGATGAGGGTAAACCCAGACTTTTACCTTGCTGAGTTTAGGGTAGGCAGGGACGTGGGCATCCTCACAGCTGTCGTGCTCAACGTCCTGAACGTCTACTGGTTCACCCTGATCTGGGCCAAGACTAAGAAAAAGCTGTTTCCTATCAAACATAAGGAATAGTTGCGAATACAGGGGTGCCAGAGTATACAGTGCAATTTTACGGAATACAATGCCATTTTACGGAATACAGTGCAATTTTACTAGTACACAGTGCAATTTTACGGAATACAGTACAATCGTATTAGTATACAGTGCAATTTTACGGAAATTTTAGTAGTCAAATTGCACTGTGCATTAATACGATTGCACTGTATTTCGTAAAATTGCACTGTATACTAATACGATTGCACTGTATTCCGTAACATTTCACTGTATACTTTTGCACCCTGGAATATGTTGCAATAATTGCGTTTTAAGCCAGAAGGGATCTCCCACTTAGCCATACATTTTGTTCTATACAATTATTGAATTTTAGAATGTAGCAAGGCAAAGGAAGCTTTTCGTCTTCGTTAGTTTCAATTCGTTATCAGTAGAAGGGAAAATACAGTGCAGCATTGCAGCACGCCAGTTGGCAGAAATTCTGCAGTTCGTGCTATTTCTGCAAGAGGTCATTGTTCTGCTGGCTCGTTTTCCCCCACACATATATGCAATAAGAAGAGGTTGTACCTACCATTACCGTGCTGGTATCATAGAGGTTAGTTCAATGTGCATATAAAACTATGGCAAAGACCGACTTTTCAGTAGTGTTGCGCGCACTGAAACGCATATGTATATTACTATTAATATTTTACTATATTATATCATATGTTATGCTAATGTATATCTAATGCATGCCGTAACAAAGTACTGAATATAAGCAGCTTGGCCTTTTCAACGCAATAATGTTGACTTCTTAACATTAAAATTATCTTGTATATTTCTCTTACATTGCAGCTGGTATATTTCACATACATAACGTTTTTGTACACTGCCTTCTACGTAGTACGCTTTGGGCAATCTTGGTGGTATGTTTGCTTCTGATTAGGCCACAGCAAGTTATTTTTATGGATGACATCAACGGGCATTTAATTTTCGCCTAATTTTGAAAAAGAAAAGAAATTTTGTAGCCCACTGACAGTAGTTGATATGCCGAAAATGGATAAAAAATGTCTATTGCCATGCCGGAACGTGGATGGCAGATAAATATGAAGAGATGAGACAAGAAAAGGCTCTGATTTAATGTTTTGCCTTTTACTATTTGATACAGTGATGTATTTCATTTCTTTTATATGTGATGTTCATTCAATCAAAACCATTTGTACAATGATTGAAACTTTTATATTTCAGTGACAAATGGATGTCGTAATAGTTGGTAGTAAACTTAGCACAATATAGGTATCACTTCTTGTTTAACAAGGTTTATGATGTCAAAATTTGAAAATGTAGGAATCTTCTTTCTTTTGGGCCGCTTTGTTTTTTTTCGCCCTATCGCATTAGATTTTGGAGTCTGCGGAGGATGTCATCCATAAAATTTACTTGCTGTGGCCATACTGAAAACAAGGGGATTACTACTCTGTTGGCGGTACTACTGTGTGATGAGTGATTAGTTCATGATTAAATGCCTACCCTAACCAATAGGGGAAAGAAAAAAGAACAGCCTAGAGACTTTACACCGGCTGGGTGGTAAGTAAGTAATAATGGATTGTCAGCCATACACGTTTCGTGAAGATTAGTTAATCCAGAAATTCAATAAAAGAGGAAATCTGTTTTTCGGCTCACACAGAGCGCTAGCATCCTGCTGTTCATGATTATATACAGAAACTTTATTGACACAACTAGAAAGGCCGACATTTGCTTAAGAGCAAATACAGCACATTTCACCCATTCCAAATTTCCCCTAGAAAGGCCAACATTGGTCAGGAGCAAATGCGGCATTGCTTCACCACATCCCCCTTACCACAAATGGACCTATCCCCCTCCCGCACAAATGGATTGTTCCTTAATCACCCCTGTTCAAAATGGGAACTGTTCCAACACTCTATACCCCCATGCAGCAATGGAATCTTCCAACGCCTTTGCTGTTGGAACACATAGAACCCTGGTAGAACTGTCAGTTGGGGATTCGGGTTTTCAAGCTACAATCGCTGTTTTTACTCAAAATAAGGTAAATCTAAGTATTTCAAAGGGTTCAATCTGAATAGTGAATACTACAATATAAGCATTTGGTGCCAAGCTACCTTTATGCAGAATTTCAGGTCATTTTTTTTTTGTATTTGCTAAGGCATAACCTTCGAGGAAGTACATAAGGTTAACGTCAACAAAAACGACGGCGCGTAATGTAGACATGTGCACGTAATCCCCGGCTAACAAACTAATCACAGAAAGTAATATTGTATTACCAGGGGAACTCGTGACTGTTGAGTTAGGATTACCAGGCGCCATACTGAATCCGACCACGAAAAAAAATATTATCTTTTTTTTAAGGATTAGGCCACGCCGCCTTAATCTTATGGATGACATCCGAGCGCGCTTTGATTTTCGCCTGTTCTCAAAAAAAAAAAAAAACGTCCACCGAGGCTCTGGCCTGGCTCTAGGCCTGGGTAGTCCATGGTAGTTAGCGACAATACGGAGCCGGGCACCCAGACTACCGAAGCTCTACGACTCAAGAACTCATCATCAGTACATACATACGTACTGTGCCGATTCATAAATTCCGCAAAAAGCCAGCATGTGCCAGCTTGTTGTATACGTCGCTAAGTACTGCCGCATCAAAGTAAGAAACAAAACATTAAATCAGAACCTTTTCTTGTCTCCTCTCTTCATAGCTATCTGTCATCCACCTTCCGGCATGGTAACAGACATCTTTGCCCATTTTCGGCATGTTAATCACTGTCAGAAGGCAACAAATTTTTTCTTTTTTTTTCTAAAATCAGGCGAAAATTAATGCGCGCACTGATGTCATCCATAAAAATTACTTGTTGTGGCCCTATGCGAGCAGTGACATACATATTCACGTAGGCAAGACGAAATTAATGGTTATTTGGTAAATAGAATAAATGCCTCTACCTGACAACACCTAACGAAGATAAACAGAATATCCGATTCACAGTGTCCAAAATCTATAGAAACAGTTTTCACCAACGATTTCTATAGGGTATCCGTATACCAGAATCTATGAATGTGTTACATATACTGAAGGACATGTAATTTATATAATTTATTAACCCATTATTATTACCTCCATGAAATGTGTCATGGAGGTTATATTTTCAGTTGCGTTTATCTGTCCGTCCGTCCGTCCGTCCGTCTGTCTGTTGGTCAACAAGATAACTCAAGAACGCCTGGATGAATTGGTTTCATACTTGGTGTGTTGGTAGGGTGTGACGAAAACTGGAAATGATGAGATTTTTGTCCCCCTAGTGGCTTCCCTTGGTACTGCAGCGCAACTTCCGGTTTTGATATCTCGCGATCTGGACATGCTAGGGTCATGAAATTTTGATGGAAGGTAGCTCTCGTGCTTGGGAAGAAGTCATATGAGTTTGGGCCCCCTAGCGGCTTGTTCTGGAACTGCAGGGCACTTTCTGGCGAAATGTTTAAAAGC